CACTTCTAGATAATAAATTGTGATGTAACATTGCCAGACTACAATTGTCATTTCAGTTGTTGATTAGATCATCTGCGTGTTTGCTACAGACATACATGTATTCATATGAAAATTGTGAAATCATTAATGCTGAGTGTTAAGTCTGTATTATATCATCAGCAACAGACAGACACCTCACACACTACCAGCTCCCGCGGGACAGACATGTGATACATATGTAATGAATGTGAAGCTTGTGGAGTGCCGATGTTGACTGTCATCTTATTCCAGTATCTCCTTCATTGGCTATCTATCTGTGTAACGCCAAATGCGCTCTCTCATTGAAGATTCTTCAGTATAATAGATCAGGGAGCCCCTGAGCAAAGACTCAACACATCAAGATTTACACCAAACACAAACTGCTTATAAAGAAATAGAGTGCAAGCTGTGGCAGCCTTAGAGGAAGAGTGAAGAATGAACTGGTGAGACATCAGTTAGAACAAAATCAGGCCAAAATGAAGTTCATTTCAAGAGTATGAAACAGCTTTCCAGAGTGAAGTTCCCAGAAAAAAGTTAACTCCGGCTGGTAAACATTTTCAAACTACCATAAGTCTGTGGCCGTTACCTAGGTAATCCGCACCTTTGACACTGAAATCTTCTCCAGTTTATTTCTTCTGTTCAGACCGTTGAGGTCAGACATAAGTAAAAACATCAAAACACTGAAGAGCTGCTTTATAGTAGAAAATGAGGTTGTAATTCTGATTGCCTGGAGTGCTGAATTACAGAGCTCAAACTTGTTACTTCTGTTGTGAGTTTCTCAACAGTGGAAGCTGTCGGGTAAACTTCTATAGCGGTGAATGGGAGACTACATTAAATATATTTGTTTGTGGTCCCATTTGATCAAATAGCAAAATAAAAATTCCACAATTGTGTTTCCACGACTTTCAAAAAGAGGGAGAAAAATAGAGAGAGAGATTGATTGTGGCAGTCAGAATAGAAAACAAAGAATAGAAATAAAATTTACTGTCACTCCCATTGACGCTGTATTATAAACACTCTCACTGCAGCATTAACTTTTACCTGTTAAAGTTTATCCAGTTTCTTCAGGAATTAAAATTTTGGCTGCTTTTACGACCAGAGGCTGCGCAATAAAACTCATTGATTTTTATTGTGAGAAACGACACATTGACCGTTCCAAGGTGGCGGACGTTTATACTGATTTAATAATAATAATAATAATAATAATTTGTTATTATTTTGTAATATTTAAGTAAAAATCGTAATGGTCCTACAGTAGGCTTCATTTTTCTTAGTGCAATGTTTTTATTTTCAAAAATATTGTATATTTCAATGTGAAAACATATTAAGAAATTTTAGACTTATTTAATATATTTTATTTTTATTTATTTATTCATTCATTCATTTTTATTTTACTTATTGTTTTTTTTCCTTGTGATTGGGGGTTGTAATTTTATTCATGGCATTCACCATCCTGTCACCTGAGCAACTCTACAGAGGTTTTTCATCCTCTCGTGTAGGTCAGTAGCACTTCTAGATAATAAATTGTGATGTAACATTGCCAGACTACAATTGTCATTTCAGTTGTTGATTAGATCATATGTGTGTTTGCTACAGACATACATGTATTCATGTGAAAATTGTGAAATCATTAATGCTGAGTGTTAAGTCTCTATTATATCATCAGCAACAGACAGACACCTCACACACTACCAGCTCCCGCGGGACAGACATGTGATACATATGTAATGAATGTGAAGCTTGTGGAGTGCCGATGTTGACTGTCATCTTATTCCAGTATCTCCTTCATTGGCTATCTATCTGTGTAACGCCAAATGCGCTCTCTCATTGAAGATTCTTCAGTATAATAGATCAGGGAGCCCCTGAGCAAAGACTCAACACATCAAGATTTACACCAAACACAAACTGCTTATAAAGAAATAGAGTGCAAGCTGTGGCAGCCTTAGAGGAAGAGTGAAGAATGAACTGGTGAGACATCAGTTAGAACAAAATCAGGCCAAAATGAAGTTCATTTCAAGAGTATGAAACAGCTTTCCAGAGTGAAGTTCCCAGAAAAAAGTTAACTCCGGCTGGTAAACATTTTCAAACTACCATAAGTCTGTGGCCGTTACCTAGGTAATCCGCACCTTTGACACTGAAATCTTCTCCAGTTTATTTCTTCTGTTCAGACCGTTGAGGTCAGACATAAGTAAAAACATCAAAACACTGAAGAGCTGCTTTATAGTAGAAAATGAGGTTGTAATTCTGATTGCCTGGAGTGCTGAATTACAGAGCTCAAACTTGTTACTTCTGTTGTGAGTTTCTCAACAGTGGAAGCTGTCGGGTAAACTTCTATAGCGGTGAATGGGAGACTACATTAAATATATTTGTTTGTGGTCCCATTTGATCAAATAGCAAAATAAAAATTCCACAATTGTGTTTCCACGACTTTCAAAAAGAGGGAGAAAAATAGAGAGAGAGATTGATTGTGGCAGTCAGAATAGAAAACAAAGAATAGAAATAAAATTTACTGTCACTCCCATTGACGCTGTATTATAAACACTCTCACTGCAGCATTAACTTTTACCTGTTAAAGTTTATCCAGTTTCTTCAGGAATTAAAATTTTGGCTGCTTTTACGACCAGAGGCTGCGCAATAAAACTCATTGATTTTTATTGTGAGAAACGACACATTGACCGTTCCAAGGTGGCGGACGCGTCAACGTGCCTGGAGCGGTCAAATGTGGAATCTACTTATACTTATCTATGCTTATACATAGCTTTTGCTGCGTCCCAATTCGCATACTATCCATCCTAAATAGTATTCAATATTATAATTAGTATGTCCCGAATCCTACCCGGTCTCATGGCAAAAACGTACCTGGGAAAACATTTTCGCAATACGCGAAATACGTACCAATAAGTACATATCACTGCAGTTTCCAAAAGAAATGAACACTAGAGGCAGTAAAACTCCGACACCTTTTAAATTATTTTCACACAAAGTATGATTTACAGAGTTTCATACGCATTTTACGCATTAATAAAGCGTAATTTTCGCACAATTACTTGAAGAGTATTATGTTGTGACTTCAAAACATTTTTAATATGCTGGGAGATTTGAAAACTGATGCTTTTGAATGTTAGCACCGCACATATCCAGCTTCATATCAATGGGTTTCCATGGACGATAGGTTTGTTCGGTAGCTAACGGAGTACGGAGACGTACTTGAGAGGTGAGGAACTCCGGTTCGATTCCCGTGTAACTACGGTTCAACAAAACAGTTCAAATCTGCATATAAGGAAGTAAAAATGGCACGGTTGCATCAAAAAATGTGTTTTTATATCAGTTTTGCATTTGTTAACACTATCGGGTAGGTTTAGGGTTGGGTTTGGCGTAGGGCATATTTCCAACACTATAGAGCATTAACTTTTAGGGACAGTCCCCGGATATTTGAATTCTGAACCGCCATAAATGTACCCAGAGGTACGTATTTTTATGAGACTGGTTTGCCCGAATCGAAGGATGTAGAGATGAATATTCCAGAGGTACCTGGATGGTTTACTATTTTTTGAACAGTTGTTGCACATTCATCATGTTTGTTGTTTAATATAGTTGAATTAGCATTTTCCAGTAAGTTTGATCTGTTATTAAATAAACTTAATTTCTTCAAATTCGCCCCCTCATTCAAGTCCTCGGTTCACTTGCGCTCATAGTATATTAATATCAGCACAGCATCAGTTTTAGCTTCAAGCATGCTCAGCATCTCCAGCTCATCGGTTCTCAGTATGTCGAACGTGTCCGAAAGAAACGAATCTCAGTATGTCGAAAGTTTTCCGAAATGTCGAACATGCCCGAAAGAAATGGTTCTCGGTTCAGTGTACTGGTGATTCGAGAACTGTTGACTCGTGAACCGCTGTAGCAGTACCGTTTGTTCGGTAGTACACGCATGCTCAGTATATCAGCTGCTCGTGCTCATCGGTTCTCTCAGTCTGCACAGCATGTTTCAGTGCTGTTGGAGTTACAGGAGTAACATAAACTCTGGATATTGGTTTATTGCGAGTCGTAGGGACTTGTCAGGCATGTCTGAAAGTGAGAGACTTTAGAAAATTGTGGATCAGTGCTGACTCGAGATGCAAACTGTTTTGAACGATTCAGTCCGATTTGGTGAAATGGTTCAACCGGTTCACTAAAAAGAACTGGTTCAAAAGAACGATTTGTTCGCGAACTGGACATCACTATGAGAGTGTAATGCACCTGTTACCCAGGGGTCGGGATGTTTGCTAACAGTACATAGCTGCAAGGGTATTTCAAACTTTGTTTTACCCCTAAGTAAAGAATTTAAAAAAAGAACCGTGCATACATAGGGGTCTTTAAAAAATCAAGCTACTTTTGCTCAAACTGGGGCTAATGAAAACAACCCAGACATTCAGCTTTGGCATACAAGTCATCTCACACTATTTATGCATCATGCATTACACCTTAAGATGTGCTTGTTGAGGAGCATTCAAGCATCAGACTTAACATTTTCAACCTGCCCAATGATACAGAGAACAGAAATTCCTCAGACTTACATTAAAGGAGAGACCAGAGCCACATCAATGAGACTTTTGACTTGGGCACGTAAGTTACAACACAAAATACTCTAGCAACCACATGATAACGCTATGCTCTACTTTTGCACAAGCAAGAAAATACAACAATCCAATTGGACTTCCTCTTGTCTCTGAATATATGGGCTGGTCAGTTTGACTTGTCTGGATAATGGGTGTCCTATTGAGGCTCTGGATCTTTTCCTGAATTCTGTCGTGCTGCCTTGGCAACCCTTATTAACACTCTTTCCTTCCTGAGAAACTGCTTTGTTCATCACATAATAACTCCCCACTGAGAATACAGTACATGCGGTCTCAAGAGTTTATATTGTTACCTGGTAACAGAAAGTCCAGACCAGCATGCAGATGTTGATCTCCGTGTCCATCTCTCTCTTCCCAAATCATTCACAGTGCCCGGAAGGACTGAGGCCCATGAAGGATGGTTCAGGCTGCTATGACTACTCTCTGGGAACGGACTGTACGGACGGCTTCAATGGAGGCTGTGAGCAGCTGTGTCTTCAGCAGCTGGTTCCTCTTCATGATGACCCGACGTCCAGCAATGTGCTCATGTTCTGCGGGTGAGAGAAAACACACGTGCATGAATATGAACCCAAGCACATAAAGAGCACATTCAGTGGGTATAGAAAATAATCACCCCCTTTAAAATAACCACATTTTGTTGTAATGAAGACGGACACAGTTTTTCTTTTACCCAGCCGTATTTACTCAGTGCAACTTATAACATCCAAGTGAAAGATATAACACCAACATGTCAGAAAAAATTTAAAAAACACAATCACTGAGTTGGAAAAAGGATCACCCCCTTGTGTCAATATTTTGTCGAAGCACCTTTTGCTTTAATTACAGCCTTTAGTCTGTTGGGATTTGTCTCTACTAACTTTGCACAACTCGAATTTGCAATATTTGCCCACTCCTCTTTGCAGAACTGCTTAAGTTCAGTTCAATTTGATGGTGAGCGTTTGTGGACTGCAGTCTTCAAGCCATTCCACAGATTTTCAGTGGGGTTTCTCCTTCAACCACTGTGTGCTCAGTTTTGCTGTGTGCTTTGGGTCACTGTCATGTTGGAAGGTAAACCTTCTTCCCATTGTCAATTTTCTGGAAGAGGGCAGCAGGTTCTCCTCAAGAATTTGACAGTATTTTGCCACATCCATTTTTCCTTCTATCCTGACAAGAGTTCCAGTCCCTGCTGCAGAGAAACACCCCATAACAGATATCACCACCTTCATGCTTTACTGGAGGAATGCTGTTATATGGATGGTGAGCTGTAGTGGATTTCTGACAGACATATCGTTTGGTGTTGAGGCCAAATAATTCAATTTTAGTCTCATCTGCCTCAGAATCTTCAAGGTGTGTTTTGGCAAAGCTCAGTCATGACTGCATATGGCCTTTCTTGAGGAGTGGCGTTTTTCTTCAACCCTCCCATACAAGCCACATTTGTGGAGAATTTGTGATATTGTTGTCACATGCACACAATGACCACTCTTTGTCATAAACTCCTGCAGCTGCTTGCTCTTTTCATGCAGAGCTAATCGAAATGACCACAGCTGATCAAAGTTGAAAGTCAGATGGCTTTGTGCGCCATTGAGAAGGTGATCACCTACACCTGATTGAGTTTCCAAGTCATATTTAGGAGGTGGTTATCCTTTTTCCAACTCAGTGAATCTGTTTTTTTTTTCTCTCTCTCTCTGACATGTTGGTGTTATATCTTTCACTTGGATGCTGTAAGTTGCACTGAGTAAATACAGCTAGATAAAACAAAAACTGTGTCTGTCTTCATTTCAGGCTGCAAAGCAACAAAATGTGACTATTTTAAAGGGGGTGATTATTTTCTTTATCCAGTGTACGTCCATCCAGAGATTGGTGACATTGTAATATATGCACATATATTAAATATCCATATATGAAATAGATGTCATATAAAGTAAAAACATATATGAAAACTATTAGAAACCATTTTCTATATTATATATTCATCTAGCACAAACAAACATGTATGTGTAATACATTTTTGGACATACATGTCATGTACATGTATATCCATCTTAAAACAGACAATATCTCTTACAATTTTTTAAAAGTCTGCATCACAGTACATTACAGAATTCAGCTGATATGAGTGTGTATGGTATTAACATACAACTCATCCATTTCTTTGATAAAGATCACTTTAACATACATTAATTGAACTACCATTTTATTATCTGAATGAAATCTCAACACTGTCACTGTGTGTGTGATGAACAGGTGTGTGCAGGAATACAAGCTAGCCGCTGACAGCCGCTCCTGTCTTCTCCTGGCTGATCACTGTGAAGGGCCAAAGTGCCCGAAACAAGACTCACGCTTCAACGACACACTCTTCAGTGAGATGCTCCGCGGGTACAATAACAAAACTCAACAGGTGATCCTGGGACAAGTTTTTCAGATGACCTTCAGGTGAGTTTTTGTGCAGTAAGCTTTATGTCTGGGGTGTTTGGCAATTTAGTCCTTAACATATGTGCAGTTTTATTCTCCAGATTCTTGAGGGTTGTATTTTGAGTGCAAAAGCCAGGCTCTAGAAATACAGAGTTCTGGCATGAAACTCTAGATGGCGCAGTCCGATAGGGCTAACTCAATCTGACCTAATGACATCATTATCACATGGCACAGCTGATTGGTTCTCTCTTGTATCGGTAGCCAATGAGCTCGCTGCTCAACATTCAAATATATGATTAGTTCTTGCCGTAGCAGTTGCAGCTTTATTCAGAAACCCTCCACCTTCCCCAGCTCCACCTGTATAGATCTGCTACGAGGTGATTCATGTATGCTATATGGGGTTATTTCATGTATGTTATATTTGCAGCAGCAATATTTCTTACATGCTCACAGCAGCATGTTGTGGATGTATTGGCAGTAGCAAGTCTCAGTACTTGCTCTGCCGCAGCAGCAGCAGCGTAGCAGATCTATTCCGCCAATACCAAATACATTAACAATGTCATGTACATTACCATGCCAATGCCTCCGAGAGTTGTCATGACAAAAGTACATTTATTGAAATAAGATTGTGAACATAGGAACCTTTCGAGTTAAAAATACAGAGAGCTCAGAGTTTCTTGTGTGTTGTTACCTGTAAGTGTGCACTTGACGTCAAACATGTATCCATCGGTGAACTCTTTTCAAGTCACATTTTGTTTTGCATATTAAAAAACTTACCAGCAACTTTCTCCATTCATTACCACAATGGTCACCACCAGCGATTACTTAATTACTTTGAGCCAGTAAATGTACTCAAATTATTTCTGTATTGAAATTATTAGAGCATAAACACTTACATATTAAGTTTTATATTGTACCCTAACATCTGATTTCATTATATCAGTCGCAATGTTCATGTCCTCAGAAAAGCCACTTGATCTGTTTTTATTTATTTTATTACCTTCAAACATTTATTTGCTTTATAAATCAAAGTTTGTAAGGATGTGATTGTTGGTTTGGTGCTTTGGTGTCTTTATTGAAGAAATTTTTGGAATCCCTATGGAGAAAATTCATGGAAAAATACTTCTAAATGGCACTCAAAAAGCAGGCAGTAATGCTTTTGCACTATAGCAGTATGCTGTGATAATTCCAAGATACGTCAGTTATGATTTGTGTACTTTGATTTTGGTCTAAAGTGAGAGTAATTTTGTTCAGCAAACACATTTTTCAGAAAGGTTCACGTTTAAAGAGAAATTAAATTAATTTACAGCCTACACGGCTGCTTCCGTGTCTATTTGCAGCTGTCAAACTCACTCACGTTAGATGGTGTGTTGTGGCGCAGCAGTTCTTCTGATGAACGTAAAACACTCCATCTTTATTAAGTCATCAGTGTTCTGTGTTAGCAGCAATCCCAGCACTACACCACCACTGTCAAACCCCGCAAAACCATTCACTGTCTGAAAATAAAGACAAATGCTTCCTGAGGAAAGACATCTTTGCTGGCCTTCTACTGACAATCATATTATTGTGCACTTCTGATCATCTACTTTTGTCTGGAGGTTCTTATGGACGTATTGTATGCAAGCTTGTTTCTGTCATGGGATAGATAAAAAAGCCACTTTTCTCACTTTTCAATTCTGACTGATTTCTCATAATTGTGAGTTCATATCTCACAATTCAGACTTTTTTCTTGCAGTTCTGAGAAAAAAAAAAACGTTAACTTGCAATTGTGAGATATAAATTTACAGTTAAAACTTAGAATTGCCAGATGTAAACTCTTTCAAGAAATAAAGTAGGAACTGTGAGTTTATATCCCACAATTCTGTGTTTTTTGAGGGGGAAAAAAAGAGATAAAATGTTTTTTTTTTTATATTATTTTATTTTTTATTCCATGGCAGAATCAGGCTTCCATTGTATGACATTATAGAATGTCATTTTTTTATAGTGTAGTTTACTCAATATCAAATTTTATATCTGTTTACTTTATTTTTCAACAGTTTATGGTAATATACTCAACTAAGGCTCTGACTATTGACAAACCTTTCATTTCTTCTGGATCAAGTGGAGGGGCTAATTTGATAGAAAATATCTTTGACAGGTTCTTCCACAAAAACAAACATAACTGCACACATACCCGTAATCACTTACTGACCATAATAGAATTATTATAAAAGCTTTAAAATCATATCATCTGTTTTATTCAAATATATTCAATAACTGGAATGTCAGATTATCATCACCAATTTTCTTTCTTTTTTGAATGAATGAATGAATGAATGAATCAATCAATCAATCAATCAATTAATCAATCAATCAATCAAATGTGTGAATATTGTAGATATCAATTGGAATTGATCTGATTGTAATTTCTAGTTCCTGTTGTTTCTGATGTAAGACATTGTTAGCCAGGGAGGATGGAACTTATTTTACTGATGTGAAAGTTACTAAAACCATAAATCAGGGGTCTCCAAACTCAGTCCTGGAGGGCCGGTGTCCTGCAGAGTTTAGCTCCAACTTGCCTCAACACACCTACCTGGAAGTTTCTAGTATGCCTAGTAAGACCTTGATTAGCTGGTTCAGGAGTGTTTGATTAGGGTTTGAGCTCAACTCTGCAGGACACCGGCCCTCCAGGACCGAGTTTGGAGACCCCTGGTCTAAACCTTCACAATGCATTTAAACATGTTCTCTGTCTTGTGCTTTTATGCACCGAATGGTTTGGTAAAGCTCAAAGAAAGTGGAAAATAATGCACTTATTTTCAGAAAGAACACAATTTTCTCTGCAGGCTGAAGGACAGCCGTGGATTACATTTTTTCAGAAGGGCTCTGTCATGATTTGCTGTGGTCTTCCTTTATTATCTGTAGTGTTATGGCTTTTTGAAGGCAACAAAATAATGTTTGAGCTGAGCAGTATTCTCTGAATCTTCTTTGGATTTATATTTATAGTTGTGAAATGCGTTTACACTTTATTTTAAGGACCAATTCTCACTATTAACTAGTTTCTTATTAGCATGCATATTACTAGCATATTGGCTGTTCATTAGTATTTATAAAGCACATATTAATGCCTTATTCTGCATGTGCACATTTTAGATCCCTTAATCAACTCAATACCAACTACCTTACTAACTATTAATAATAAGCAGCAAATTAGGAGTTTATTGAGGAGTTTCACTTTGCGTTCCCCCGATGAATGTTATAATAAACCCAAACTCACAACAATATGCAGAGATGGAGTTTGAGACGATCTACACATGTAAATGATAACAGTTTGTGTGGAGCAGCATTTACTGTGAACAAAGCCGCTCTGAGATGCACATACATAGCCTACACGCATGTAAATAATTAAAGCTCATATATTAAACCTGCATCGCATATATTTATTTAATTGAATCATAGTGTTTGTGAATTCACAAAAGCATTATGCTTTATTATGATTTTAAAATGGGTTTAATGTATCATGCAGCCTTGGAAGATGGTCTAATAATGCATTTTATGAATTCTAGTCCGTGGAATGCGACACTTCCGGTATTTTGCCGATTACTCAACACAGGCAAAATGCAATCGAAGATTTTTTTTTTTTAATCGAGTACTCGAAGGGATCGAGGGATCGTGACAGCCCTAGTACTTAGTCATGTTAACCAGTGTATTAACCAATGTTAACAAATGAGACTTTAAAAAAATCTACCTACTTAAAAACTTAAGTTCAGTTACTGCCTTAAAGGTCCCATATTGTCAAAACAGAAATTTCCTAGCTTTTTTTCACGATTACTGAGGTCTAGGGGCTATTTAACTACCATATAAGTTTGACTTACTGATATACGTATACATATCATTTTTATACAGATATATATGTACATAAATTGCACTTATTTAATACAAAAGTGGCAATTTTTTTACTTATTATTAAACATTTAACATACAATAAAGTAAACAGTATAGTATGGGAGACCTTGGAAATCACAAAATGAAAAACCCTGAATTAAAATCATGCTCATGTTGGTTTGCACACTGGGTAGGTTTGGGCAAAAATGCGAAAACTGCCACACACTACAAGAGATGCGCTATGGAGATTATGGATGAAACAATTGAAAAATCTGTAATCATTTGCACACATTCATGTCCTTTTGACTGACTTTCTTTTGTGAAACACAAAATAAGTATAAAAGAATATCCAAGCATGTGTGGGACGTGCTGCTGAACATCTCTTGTACTGTATGATCTGTTTTTGAGTTTGTTCTTGCTTTCAGAAACAATTACCTACATTTAGGGATGCACCGATACCACTTTTTCCAGTACTCGCCCGATACCGATACTTTTATTTTTGGTACTTGCCGATACCGATACCGATATTTTTATTGCATTTGTACATTTTTTAAATATTGGGTACAGAAACCAAAAGGGTCATTGTCTCTATGTTTTTGATTGTAGTTTGATTGTAGTGTGTCTGTCTCTGTCCTAGGCCTTTGTTTGACCCTCATCACACTATGTATTTATTTTTTTTTATTTTTTTTCTCTTGAGGGGTTCATGTCCTCAACATCCCTTCAGCAGATGCTTTGATATGTAGATGCAGCTCTTTACTAACTACAAACCCAACAGAAGGGCGACGTGACTCTGAATTGATGCTGCCTGAAGGGCTACAGATGCTTTCAATCACATTTTGCTCATGATAATAATGTTCATCAAACATTGTGCCTAATATTAGTGATATTTATGCAGCTTTGGCCTTATGCATCCAGTTTGTTTCAACAGTTTGTGGAAATTAGTTAATGGCAGAGTGCCTGTAATGATATAGCAAACAACATTCAGGCAAATTTTATGTGTTCAGAATAGAATATGATTTCTGATGATGTTTGCTTTCGGCAAATTAGGGAAAGGCTTGTTCTGTTTGACTTAACATCAAACACAGAGTTTCCTTGGTAACAGTTTTAATAACTTTCATTAATAAGTCATTTTCAAATATTATGTAATGTTTTTAACTGAA